GGTTGTAACAATGATACTACAGTACTATACAGGTCATGATCTAGATCACTGATTCTAAACTTATCCTGTGCCTCCAAGACGTTTCCAATTTGTTTATTTATGTCTTCATTCATTCATTTTCTGCAGTTGTGACATGCACCTTGGAAAATAATCATTCAATAGGTGCCAGTGAGTGCTTGAAGTGGGCAGGATGGATGCCTTCCCTTGTCCAAGACTGCTCAGTGCCTTGCAAAGATGACTGCATGTTCACTCCTTGGTCTAAATTTACAGCATGCACTTCTGATTGTGAATCAACACGGACCAGAAGAAGAACCCTTACAGGTATTATCAGTATTTTATGCATCATCCTTAGTCCTTTTGTTTCCAAAAGTCCATGGAACAGTCTTTGGAGATTTGCCAAGGGCAATTAAATGTATTCTTGTTTGCTCAATGTTGACTTACTAACAATGAGTTCCACTACTCTGTTAATTCAGCAAGTCAGTCAGGAGGGCTACCTCCTCTTAAGATGTCTAGAGAAGACATAATTTCATCAGCAAGTCCCTTAAGCTACATGAATGCTGGAATTATTCCAGATAGCCAACTGCAGCAGAACTTTCTATTTCCTATATAGAATTCTGGCATCTTTTCAATGAGATTTCCTATATAATCTCTCAAAGGACTGCTCTTTCCAATTACCTAAGTGTAGAAACTGTGTGGATAATGTTGTATGTTAGTTATTGCAGAGGTTCATGGGAATCAAACAGAAATGTGGATGCATGAATTGTTATAGCACTATATACGGTTAATGTACTGTAGATATATTACTTCAATGGTTTTTGCATGTGTAGGATGTAAAAATACCCTACAAATTACAATTGTATGATTATTTGAAGCTTTCTTGATGTGTTTATTATTTTATGAATTGGGTTTGTATGGTTATATTTCAGAATTCATGCAGGTAGTCTCCTGCAGTAGATTCAGTGGGTTGCACGCATACATGCCTGGGTAAAGTATTACATTCTCCAAACTCTGAAAATATCCATTTTGTTTGATTTCACAAATGCAGCATATGTGGTGTTTTTATACCTAAATGATTGTGAACTATATTGCTGGCTGCACATCTACACACGTTTGCAGTAGTATATCATTATGTCTTAATCTAAAAATACTACAAAGATTTAGTGCTTTTCTATAATATAAATTATTGTGTGTTCCTGCCACATCTGAAAATCACTACTCTTGACTGGTCACAGCTAATCACTGATTTTGGTTTCCAAGCATAGTGTAAGTATCACTTAGCAACCATCCTTACTTTTAGCAAAGGGATCTGCTTTCTCCTCCCCAAATCCTTACTCTGCTAGGAAACAAGATGAATTAGTATCATTCACAGGTCTAACATATAGTTGTCTAAAGAGAGAAGAGCCTAAAGTCCATTCAGAAAGATCTACTGGACAGCACCTCACAAAAAGTTTTTCAGTGGATAACAATGTTGCTCAATGAACTTTTATGCTGACAGCTACTGTAGCTGCACCTTGTGCTCAGTGTTGAAAGCTATTATATTAGAAGATGAGGTGGGCCTGATTTATGGAATAGAAAATAATCATTTGAAATAAGAAATTACTAGTTCTAATCCCATCTCAGTCATGATCATGCTAAGTAGGTGACAGGTGATCATTTTCTCAGCTTTAATCTTCTACCTCAGTAATAGGTTTAATAATAACAGCCACAACAACGATGATGATGATGATGCCACCAATAGTTATAGGTGCCTTAGGTGCAATCCCAAACATCTGGAGCACCACTTTAGGACCATCAGCACTGACAAAATCACCATCAGTCAATTGCAAAAGGCAGCTTTAATTGCGACAATACCTTTAACACCATCAAACTACAACATCTGCCTATCCCAGGTCCTTGAGAAGGACTTGACAGGTGGATAAAAATGCCAAATCCACACAATCTGTCTGACTGTGTGACCAACCATCATCATCATCATCTTGTTATCCCTTAAAGGGATATTATGAAATACTACATATACAGTAGTTTATAAAATTCTCTGAAAGTGCTAAAGTATTATATAAATGTTTATCATCATTATAATAGCATCCTTGCCTTAATCAATTAGAGATCTATTGTTTAACTTGTCATTCCATCTAAGGGAATTTCTTCCAACAAAAAACACAATCCATCATCTTACTGTTCAGCAGTGACAAGAAATTGAGGGTTGCTGACTAAGGAGGGATAGTCCTGTCAGTTTCACTTTTGCTGACTCTCTAACCTTTCCAGCTACAAATTATATTTGGTCTAGCTGTTTAATATCCAGGAATTGAAGAAAAGTCTGTATTTGTGAATCTGTATATGCTCTTTTTTAGTGTACATTAAAGCTATGCAAACTCTTCAAAGATGTGGTTTGCTGGGATTAACAGGACAGCAGTATGGAGTGGCTGTGCATGGATATGCATATGTAGAGGCCCTTTGGAGTAGCCCCACAAGTCTGCAACAGGATGTAGCTGCTTTAATTCTTTTTTAAAAAGGTGTTTCATGCACCCTTTCAAAGGATTTGCATAGCCCTAGTGCATAGTGCATAACATTTTAAACAATTTTTCTACAAGAAAATTACATTTTTCTATAAAATCTGAATGTTTCTGTTTATATCCCCTAAAATGTATGTTCCTGTGGTTTTTCAAATGCTCAAGAGAGTGCAGTCTAAAATTCTGAGAACCCTCTTTCAAATCCCTAGATGTGGTTTGCTGAAGGTTGGTGCAACATTTGACTATCCATGTTTCTTCACTAATTAAAGTTAATATTCCTTGTAACTTAATAATTCCTGATAGTTGTCAAATGAGCTGGATGAAGACCATTCTAAGGAAATTTTTGTCATAAAAACGTATGCTTCTTTAAAAACTGTACACATTGCTGTCTACATACTTTGAAATTCTGATTCTTGCCCAGAATCATGGAGATTGAATTATAATTCTCATCAACGCTAACAAAAGATGCAAATTATACATGTGTTTGGAAGCAGAATTCAACACCCATAATCCTTAATAAAGGAAATGCCAATCCATTAAGATTTCCATGTAATAAAGGGTTTGTAGGCTACACTGGGAAGTTGTAAACATCTTGGAAGAAGGCCATGGCAAACGAGTTCCAAAATTACATAGATACATCCCCAAAATCTGGAGGATTTTGTCAGTCCAGTTTCTCTCTTGGGGGTAAGAAAACAAGTTGATGAGCAGAATGGAGGAACTCAGGTGAGTTTTTCTCAAGTCAGTCAGTTAAAATGCCTTCCTTCCCTCCCCTCCACCCCCAGCAAAGCCCTTCAAGGTTTGGTGTTACTTGATGAGGCCACCTAAGACCTCTGGCTCACTTTCAGTGCACTTGCTGTTCTCCAACCCCTTCTCTCATGAATGTACCTTCTCAGAATTAGGCAAACTACATGCATTTCTTGCAAGTTCTACAGCTATTTAAGTGACTACTTAATGATCTACTCCTTACTCATGACATACATTAACATTGATTCTAGCTTTTGGCTTCAGTAGCAAAAGTGTCTTCAATTTTATGTATGTTTCTTTCCAATATTCTGTTACAGAACCTAAAAGTTGGGATCCTGCCAACTCCAGGTAGTAGTTCAACCAGAATAAGGGTTTAATCTGTTCAAATCATAATTTAATTTGCTGTATGTTGCATAATCTGGGACACAAACACACATGGGAGCTGAAAAAAAAGATCCTCTGCCACTGCTTATAAAATGGGCTTAATATTATCTACCTACCTTATCTACCTATTTATCTATCTTTCTTAGATATGTAACGGAACATCCATCATATCACTGTTATACTCACAGGAACAAATTAGAACTCATAATTTTTTTTAAAAAATAACTCAAACACTTGAAACTTCCTATTGGTCTTTGAGGACAGTAGTTACAACTGGTACATTACTAAAACTCTCATGTCTGTTTAATTATTTGTAACCTTCAATTGGGTGAAACAATGATTCATATAGCAACAATTTTTCAACCAAGGTACCTGGTGGAAGGAAAGAAGGGAGGGACGGAAGGGAAGGGAAGGGAAGGGAAGGGAAGAGGGAGGGAAGAGGGAGGGAAGGAGGGAGGAAGGGAGAGGGGGAGGGAAGGAGGGAAGGAAGGAGAGAGGGAGGGAGTGTAGGAAGGAAGGGAGAGAAGGAGGGGAAAGGGGGAGGGAGGGAATGGGGAGGGAGAGAGGGAGGGGAAAGAAGGAAGGAAGGAAGATCTCTGATGCTCCCTGCCAGCTTCCTACAAGGAAAGTCAATGGGGAAGCCAACAGGAAGTCAGAAGTTGCTCCCACTTCCACTGCTTTCTTGCCCTTGGTCATTCTGTTTCTGTTTAGGTAAGGAAATATCTCTGAAACGATGACACAACAGGTCACGGGTTGTCTAGTTATGACTTAAAGTCTTTTACAAGAGAGAATCAACATGAATTATAAGAAGAGTAAGTTTAATGTGAGAGTAATTCTTATTATTTAATGACCTATGCTTTTGAATGAAACCTTAAACAGAGCTTGGAAGGATGTTACTCAAAAAATGATACTTTACCTGCAATAATACAGCAAGCTATTAAATGATAACACATCATGGTTGGTTGCACAATCAGCCAGATGTTTAGACTGGATTTGGCATTTTTATCCACCTATCAAGTCCTTCCCAAAGACCTGGGGTAGGCAGATGTTGTTGTTTCATGTTGTTAAAGGTATTGTCACAGGATGTAAGCTGTTCCAAATAAAGCTGCCTTTTGCAATTGACTGATGGTGATTTTGTCAATGCCGATGGTCTTCAAGTGGGGCTCAAGATGTTTTGGGATTGCACCCAAGGTGTCTATAACTATCTTTGCTTTCTAGTTGTTCTACTTCTGTTTACAGGTCTTTATATTTTGTGATTTTCTCCAGTTCTTTTTCTTCTATTCTGCTGTCTCCAGGTATTGCAATGTCCACTATCTATACATTTTTGTCTTTCTTATCAACAGTTGTTAAGATGATGATGATGATAATAATAATAATAATAATAATAATATAACAAAATCTAAAGACCTGCAAATAGACATAGAATTACTATGGCAAAAGAAAGCAAAGATAGTACCAATAGTTATAGGCACCTTAGGTGCAATCCCAAAACATCTGGAGCACCACTTGAAGACTATCGGCATTGACCAAATCACCATCAGTCAATTGCAAAAGGCAGCTTTACTTGGAACAGCTTATATCCTGTGACAATACCTTTAAGACCATCAAACAACATCTGCCTGTCCCAGGTCCTTGGGAAGGACTTGATAGGTAGATAAAAATGCCAAATCCAGTCTAAACATC